CAAGTTGTAATTGGATGATTGTGAAGGTTTTTTGTTAGAACCCTTATCAATATGAACTGTAAAAATACGGAAAAATTTCCAGAGGGGAGTTCTCAATGCAGGAAACAAGATGCATATTTTTATTCATTATATGCTCTCCTCCTGGCCTCTCAATATTTTTGTGTATCAATAATTTAATTTTCTGCCCAGAAAATATTATCTTTCTTGTAGTGTACTGCGCGTATATCGGCCGGCCATGTTTTTGTGGACCCAAAGACAGTAGCCGCTCAAAAAAGGTGGCTTTGCTATCCAGCACCGTGACATCAACCGCACGCTCCGCTGGGGATATCTTCGAGTCGATCCTTGACCTAGGAAATCCCAACCATGTCCGTCTTTACCAAGATGAAATCCTGGAACTTTCTCAGACTATCGCTGCCTCGGACATCCTGGAGAAGAAAGAACACCTTGCCAAAAGTGTTCAGAACCTCAGCGAGATGACCAGAGATGTGAGGGACAGGGTCAACCTCTTGAATAGTGCAAGTATATCAGTATTGCGAAAGGTTTTTCAGAAAGTGAGTATTTCATTCATCGCATATGATTGATACCTTCCAAGGAGCAGTCAATTCCTGAACTAAGCAGTCCTTTTTTTAACAAGCTCGAAGTGATAGGGCTTATTCTGAATTCCATTGCCGGTGGGGGAAATGTATACTCGACTACGTCAGCGCAGGCCAGATTGAAGGACCTGGTGCAAACCATCTCGAATGGGTTTTCCGAGCTAGAGGCGCAGGTAGACGCCACCATTCCACTGGCCAGACAAGGTTCGAATCTTGCAGCCACTGTTGGCGCTCAATTTGCCCAACAAAACATGCAACTGCGAAAATTAAAGGCCGGGGTTCCGCTTTGGAAACGCTTGGTCAACTTCAACACCTGGGAAATTCAATCGCTCAATCGAAATATTGCAATGACTACCGCAAGCGCATCGACGTTGAGGTCTATTGCATTAAAGCTTGAAGACCTCCGCGCAACTCTTGTAACCTTTCAGGGAAACGCGGAACATTTTCGAGTGAGTCTCTGTGTCTTTCCTACATTCTGGAAAGATCCATTAATCACATGTCGTCATCAGTCCGAGATCATAGGTAATCATAAGTCTTGTCGTGAGCTAGCAATCGATGAGAAATTTCGGGCAATGAGACAGGTAATTGGTTGCTTCAGTCAGCTCACTGAGGCGGCTGGAACCAACCTTAAAGTAACTCGGGTCGATTCGCCGACCCTTTCAGCCTGAGACCTGGCACAATTTAATTACTACTCAATGTTTTCACTCTGAGATTCATTCCTCCTAAGATACCCTCAATGGACACCAAAACCTTGTGCGCCTAGTCTATGATCCACACTCTATTACCCATTGGGCACCACCTGTTACCTGTTTTAAATATTTTGCTACTTCTTCTTGTATTGAGTTTTGTCAAGTTTACTCCACATCTACATATCTATTGGCCACAAGTCATAAATTGCTCAATGATACACCGGACTTCAATTGAGGTTACAGAATTTTTGTCATCCACAAGGGGGAAACCCTGGCGTACATTCAAAATTTGCTCAGTTAGTCATGGAGTACGTGGGTGAGAAGAAGTTTGCATCTTGCTTGAGGCACGAAATGCAAGACCTGTCCATGAGGACAGTAACCACGGGTAGTATACAACCAAAAGTACTCTAAGGGTTAGATAACCTAAACATACCTAAAGCGGATCCCAAGAGCGGTAAAGCTAACATTTTACATTGAGTGTATTACCGCGCGAGTCTGTCTCACTCAAGATGGGTATTCATTGTGTGCCAACTCATCAGTTCCTCCCTCGCCTTTCTCTCTAACCCATTCCTTTTTCATTCTCCGTTTTACTCCATTTCACTATCCGTATCACACTAATTCAATTTTACCTAAAAGAAACTACTAACTATCTCATTTTTACCTCCCACCCGCCCAGACTTTCCCAGGTAATCAAATCTTACAAAGGGGAGGTGCGGAAAGGACGGGAATACTCCAAAAGGAGAACTCTCCACAGACACTTTCCGCTGTCCTCCCTAAACCAGGTCTCCTCTCTCGGAGAGTTCACTGAGGAACTCTCCGAGAGAGGAGACCTAATTCCCGCTACCACGCCTTTCCCTCACCTAGTGTTCAACTAGGCAAGGGAAGGCTTTTGTTCTTTTATTTGCAATTAAAAGTTGTGTTATAAAATTGAATGGAGGGGATGACCTATTGGTGCACGTATTAAACATGCCTTTGTTCGAGCTCCAGTTTGCAAAGGCCAAGTCTCCGGCCTTGAAGTGTAGTTTCAAGAGTTCGAAGTTTGAACTGACTTTCAAGTTCAAACTTATTTTGAAGTTCGAACTTATTTTGAAGTTTGAACTTACATATTTTGAAGTTTGAACTTACTTCAAAGCTTACTTCGAAGTCTGAATTCTTGAAATCCCAACATGACTGATAGGCGGAAAAAGTCACTCGCAGGTAGTCTCAAAGAAAGACTGATATGTCAATCAACAGGGCCATTGAGATCATCTGCGGAGAAGCGCTAGATTGCAGGATCATAAGACCAGCGATACAAGCAACCCTGCGCCAGCTACGTTTCTGTTGCGGGCTGCGTGGCGGGGCGTTGCGGTTATTCAGCCCTGTAACGCTACAAATATACAGGCAAAATGTTGTGGGTAGTACCGCTAAGTTACACAATGTTCAGATTTTGGGTTTTTCCGGGACCGCTAAAACCCGGTTAACGTTACGGTCCCGAGCCGTTAAATAACGATGTTGCGCCCGTGGGTTTTTTTTTTGGACTATCCCCGATTAGGCAAGGAACTAACTGATAATCTATACCTCATACTCACCAAAACCCCAATCGAGAAGTGTCTATGCCTTGGTTTGTTCGAGATCGTGCCCAGCAAGGGGTCGACTGGCTGAAGATGTCAAAAGAGTGCGTGTTCCACCTCTTCCTCCCTACCTCGTTCCTCTGTCCGATTTATTTTAATCTCATACTTACTATCACTTTTCTTTACTTCCTCCTATCCATTCTTGCCTATCAATTCCACCTTCACACCTAGTTTACCGACCCAAAGAATCATCTTACCCAATCCTTCGATTTTATTATCTTCCCTCCCATCCTTGATCACTTTCCCTACGATCAAATTGTCTTTCCTCCCGTTACTCAACATACAACCTACCAGTATCATCTACGACTTTGACCAGCTACGTACCAGAATGTCATCCCGCACTTCTGAGACCCCGTCAAGACCCGTCCGTAACAGACAGCCAGTCATCAACCCCGGCATGGTCTCACCTTCCGTCGACTCTTGTAGACAAATGAGTGTTGAAGTTGATCCACCCACGATGTCGAAAAATAAGCGCAAACACCGAAGTTACCAACCTGAACCGACGGAAGATGAATCAGATGCCTCAATTGTCAGTATTCATCGTCCAACTGCCGAAGCGAATCACCAGAAGAATAGGAAAGTCACCGCCTCTAAATCCAAGTAAAGTTCCCGCAAAAAGGCTGCAACTGAAGTTCCAGCAGATGAAGTGAGGTTTTGTTCCTGATTCACAATGCGCTGGTTGGCTGTGAATTGAATCACACTTCTTTACAGAACATCTCCGAAAACGTAACTAGGGAGATGTTACGTGCGGATTCCGATAATGAGGCCTCAGGCGATCAACCTAGAAAGCGACACAAAGCGGAAGAGGCAGACCAGGTCGAGCTAGATCAACTACGAGCCTATTATGATACCCCATTTCATCGGGCAGATGATGTAAGTCATTGTTTCTTTACCTTCAAAGCATTGATAGTTTTTATTAATTGATATCTTGGTTCATGAACTTTAGGACAAGTCGAAGGCGCCTTTGTCTTATCCGTGTCGGTTCTGCAACAGAGACACCAGAAAGCCAGTCCGTGTCAGCTTAAGCAACTTGACTGGAAACCTCCGCGCACATCGGGATGGATCCACTCAGGACGGCCGCTCGGATGTAGGGTGTCCTGGCAGAACAAAAGCGAAAAATTCAGCCGAAGGTAAGGATCTAAACATACCTCCTTCGGTTGCCGAGTTGCGCATGGCCGAGAAGAAGAAAATCAGAGCTCTCAATGGCTTTGTCTCCATCACCCCTGGTTTGAAATTCAACAATGTGTCATTTAATCAAATGGCGTGTTTATGGTTGATTCGACATGCTTTACCTTGGACCCGAGTCGAGGACCCGATTCTCAGAGGCATGGTAAGGTATCTCAGACACGATGCCAAGCTTTATGGGGGCGAGTGGGCATCATCTGAAGCACATCAAGTCAATAAGTCTTTGAAGACTAATGTTTTCAAAGAATTAACGGTATACATCCATCTTCTTCTAGTACTATCAATTCAACGGCTTGTACTGATATCTGTTTGATTTATTTAGAACCTCACATCACGATTTGATCTGGTTCATGACGCGTGGACCAGTAAAGGCAATCGACATGGTTTTATTGGAGCATCTGTCACATTCATCGACCCAAAATGGCAGTATCACGTCCGACATGTGAGCTTGAAGGTGGTGGCCTGGCACCATCATGGTCCATGGCTCGCTGAACCCATTGTGAACCTTTTAGTGAAACATGGGATCTATCAAAAGATAAGTTTTCTTACTGATTCATATTTTCTATTTCTTCTTCTCTATTTGTTTTGTTTTCCACGCTGATTTTTCCCATAACTTTTCACATCCTTTGCCAGACCACCGACTCAGGATCAAATAACCAAACAATGGCACAGGAAATGCATCGTCAGTTTACATTACAACCCGAGGGAGAAGGTATAAAGTATAAATGGGACCCAGCTGTTATGCACGTCTTCTGTTTTTGTCATAAGCTTGCGCTGATTGTCAACGCAGGCCTGGCGGAGCTCGGTGTGAAGGCTCCACCTCCGGCGAAAGTCAAATCTGCTGCTCGGGGTCACTTTCCATCAATTGGAACAATTGAAGAAGAGGATGAAGAAACTGAAGATACCACTCAATGTGAACCAGCACTACCGGAACACGATATCGATGAAATCGAAGAAATCAACCCACCAGTCGAAGACGAAGCAAGTTCAATCGAAGACGAATCTGAATGGGACCGTGCCGACGCCGAAGATGAAGACACACCAGCTATTGTTTTGGAAGGGGAAGTAGCTCCAACACACCGCCGAGAAGCCAATCATGTCGATTTCATATTGCGCAAGGTAAGATCTCTTCATACCTTTTCTTTGATACTCTTTTGCTTATATTTAGTTTACTCAACGGGCTCTTCTGACTATCCCAGGTCGACTTCATTGTACGACGTATCACTCGGTCGTTGGCCTGGCGCAAAGAATTTGCACGTGTGAGTGTCAAGAAGGGTTTCACAGGATCCCTTATCGCTGGATATGGGATCAGGTGGAATATAAAATATGAAAGCAGGCATAAAGCTTGGCTTGCACGATCAGTGAGTTATTCTATTTGTTTAATTAGTACTTAAATTTTTATTAATCATACAATCAAAATTTATATTTGTATAGGTCATTGATCAATTGTGCAAAGAGGATCTTGACCGAGTGCTTGCAGTTGGACGCCGCCCACGTAAAAACGGTAAACCTTACGGTTATTTTCACCGACTCGAAATTACCACCGCCGAGTGGGCCCAAGTTCGACGTATCAATGTCGAACTGGAGGTGAGTCATCTTACTTGTGTCAAATCAATCGCAAGGATACTGACCAGATCTTCTTTTATATTCATGTAGATATTTCTCACCACCACCCTCAAGATGGAAGGCGACGGGCCTACCGGGTGTATGGTAATTCCTCAATACGTCGAGCTTCGACATAAATTACAAGAGAAGATTGAAAAGTTAAGTACTACCGACGCGGTCTATCCCATGCTAGCAAAGATGTTGGAAAAAACTCAACATTACCTTGAAGAAGCGCTGGGATGTGAAACTTTGGTAATGGCAACACTCCTTCATCCACTCTTCCGCCACAAGTTCTTTGTCAAGTGGTTTGGTGGGAAAAGTGGAGAGATCCCGATCAAGACCGAAACAATGTTCCGTCGACTGTACTCCGAATACGAAAGTTCTTCACCTCTTCAAGGATTCACTGCCGCCAACGCCACTGGTACTAGTTCCAACCCTTCTGCAGGCCAACCTAAAATGTTTCACGATGACTCTGACACTGAAGAAGAACCTGCAGAGACAATCGATAACTCAGTTGAAAATTACTTACGCATGTCAGATAAGATGCGTAGTACTGAGTATGACCTGGCAGACCCGAAATCAGCTTTACTATGGTGGTTGGTAAGTACATTCTCCAGTTTCACATTATGAACTCACACTGACAAACTGCCTTATATGTGTAGCGTCACGAGAAGGAATATCGAGTTCTTGGTATCATGGCACGTGACTACTTGGCCACCACGGGGTCATCATGCGCTGCCGAAAGAATATTTTCTTGCGCAGCTGATGTTTGCGCCAGCGATCGAGGGAGCCTCTTGGCTCGTACCATCGAGGCTCTAGTATCAAGTCGTCTATGGCTAAGGGAGGGTGTGGATTTGGGAGTTGAATTTTCCGAACTTGCATCGATTTTGAAGTCTTTAGGTGTAACCCTTGACTAATCGGCAACAGGCTATTCTTTATTACTTTGACTCTTTCTCATTTTCTTTTCTTGCTTCACCTTTTACTATTTCTTTAGAATCATTTCACTTGTTTAAACCTTTTAACATATATTATTATTTTCAATACACTCGTTTAACCCTTTTAAAATTACATTCAATACACTCGTTCAATGTCTTCAATTAACTTTCTATTTTTGACTATCGATTAACTTACTATTTCAACTATGATGAAATTTATATTGGTGGCTCCTTCTTTGTCCATTTTGGCGCTGTGACGCTGTTGCGTTGCTCCTTGGTAACTGGTGATAACGGGCGCTACATATAATGCTGTAGCGCCGGTTGCGCTGCTGCTGCTCTGCGGAGTGGAGCTGAGCTACAACTATATGCGAAATCCTGTTGCGGTATGATGCGCTACGTTATAATTTTAACGGGCTTCTGTTGCTTGTGCCGGAGCAACGTTAAAAAAAATACACCTGTAGCGCGACGTAGCGTGACTGGCGCAGGGTTGATACAAGCATGAGATGATACAAACACGTAGAGTTCCAATAATCCCAACACCTTGGCAGACTTCTCATCTCATTATCAAGGGGTTATCGTGGATTCATATCGGCGGCGACTGTCGGGATCAAGCAACACTTTAGCGGCCGCCGACATCTAAAGCAAACGGGCATTTACCAGCATCAGAATATGAAACGGAAAGGGTGAATGATCTAGATGTAAGCCTGAGATGAACCCGCCTGTTGTGCTACCCCGGTGTGTCCACCTTTGTCTGGATGAAAATATAACATGCACGACTTCCAGCGACTTTTGATCTGTGCTGAATTTGCCATTGGGGTAAGAGCCAGCTGCTGTTTACGGGGTTAACAGTTAGATTGATTATCAGATCTTCTGGGGAAAGGTCAGATCCTGGATGCACTTACCTCATAAAGCGTCCTTTGCCTTTGTTTTTGGGCTTGATGGCTGCAGGATGTGGGGTCACACTTCTGTTTATTACTGACGCGCCTATAAAGCTGTGACATCCAAAGAAAATTCTTATCAAGAGTGTCAATGTAGAACTGGCTCTCAGGAGTCCAAAGTTGATCTAGCACTCCTTCGCCCTCATCCAGATGGCCAATGTGCAAATACGCCTCGACAAGGAGTAGATGAATTCGTACAATTTGTTCCTTCAAGTTTTTGACAATAACCTTCCGTTCTTCTGCTATTCTTTTGCACCCCCCTTCTAAGAGTGAAATTGCATCTTGTGATTCTTCTCGACATAAAAAATCCTGCGCCCACATATACACCAGTTCCAAGATGTCATTGGTGGTGGTGACTTCGTTGTCAGGGGTGTCTGGTTTAGACTCCTGTTGAAAGTAAATTAGTGGAAGTTTGTCTGTCAATCATCTGATGAGCTCATTTTCCGGAAAAAAAAACACTAACGCATGCCTCCAAGTTCGAACTGCTTTCTAAATGATCTTCAACCTCGAAATACAATTGGGATAGTTCTAGGTACTTTGGATGGGTGGCAGGTATGGCCAGGCTTGAGTCTGGGCGCCAAGCTTGTTGAAGGATGTCAGAGGCCGCTTGCGGACGCTCCAGCTTCAGGTAGCATCGTGTTAGATTGAAACACGAAAGAATCCATCCCGTATGGGGACCTCTATTGGTCGCACCATTTTTGCTCTCACATCTGGATATTTCTTCGGAATATAACTGTAGCAATTGTAGATATTTTTGAACCAAGTGTGTATACATTCCTTTCGAGTCGGCATACTCAGCTGCATCCATAAGTTGACTGATGCGGTGTTGATCCTGTAAGGATGGGTCAGGAGGAGTTCGATGGGACTTGGAAGAGGAAATGGTATCGAGGAGATACAACAATCAGTTAATGGAGAAATCAGCAGGTTCAAAGATATCATCAACTCACCATTCTTCCTTCCTTACGGCATTTTATTGAACAATAGACTTGTGTTGTTGCCTCGCTTGATTTGGTTTCTGGCAAACACTTGTATGCCCTCTTTGGACGGGATGATGAAGAGACATTGCTCGATTCGATTGGTAATATCTGCTCGGCGGATGTCTTTGAGGGCAACGCATCATTCATTTCGAACGTAAAGGTGCAGAAGTACGAAGCACAGAGCAATGTGGTCAAAGTTTGTTTCTGACACCGAGGTCACAATGATGGTTTACGTAGTATTTACAGGCCACAAACAACGTAGGAATATATGAACGTGTCTACTCTAGCGCCGATTGATCAACATTCAGCAGTACTCAGGAGTCATCGGTGTACTTCATGAGCAGCTAGCCCTGATGTAAGGGGCCAAGTATAGTTTATTCGCGAGACATTTCAAACATTACACCTGATATTTGCTCAAATTTAACTCAGACCCTTCTCGAACTCAACTTGGGTCCAGCTCAATTTTCTATGACTGAGGACACGTAGTCTTATTGAACCGCCGATCGCGAACACCAACTCTCTCGAAATCCTTTGTTGTGTTTTCCTTCCTCTAACCCAATCTGGCTGATTTGAAAGCTTTGGACGTTGATGCCTGAATCCATTCCACTGCGCTTAGCTCAGCCACCGCGTCAGCTGAGTTACTTGCGCACCAAGGCGCCCCTGTCGGACGCATTTGCTCATTCTGTCTTTTGACTTCCAAACGTTGAGTTGTTTCATCATCAGCTTTTGAAGTTCAGAGTGCAAGTTCCCAAATATATGTATATATACGTACATACATTTATAATTTATCCTTAATCGTAAAACGTACCGATATCCACTCTTCATTCAATATCTGTTCATTGACAGTGTAGCTTAGGAAACTAATTTGCCGGAAGATCGCTGGTCATTGCTCTAAATCCTCAACTACGCGAAACCCAGTGCCCAAAATCAATTCAAGACTTCGCTCGTGGTGTCAAGCTTAAAAATGCCTCAAAAATTGCGGCCCAACAATGGCGACCCCCACAGTTTTGGTCGTAGGGCCGGATTCCGAGTGAGGGCAGCTGTTCATGAACTTTCGCGGCATACCCCCGCGATTCATGTTGTCTTACTGATCTTCCTGTCCATAAGTCAGTGCATGTTTCCTACTTAGTCTTTGCGTACGTCTTGGAGGCTGATTTGACACGCATTTTCCAGCAATATGTGGGCGAATACACCTTCTTGATCACCGTTTAAAAAAAGCCAAGGGCGAACTCTTCTACATTCGAGTACACACAACATCTCAACCTTGCACCAGCGTCTGGGCCTCCTCGGAGGGTTTCCAATCCAAGCAGCGAGACGCGTTCAATGATCCAGAGACAGTGAAGATAGCAGAAAGTCATCATCTCTCCAGCATCATACCGGCATTTGTGGAAAGTAATTCTCACCACAATGACGTAGCTTCTGATGACAGGCTCCAAGATGTACACTCGGAAAAAGATAGCTTTCAGGCTTGGCCGGAAGACATAATAGGCGATGTCGAGAAAGGCCTCCAAACAACCACGCTGAAAGATTCGTACCAAGTGCAAACCGGGTTACCAACAAGCTATATGGCGCGAGAAGCTTTCAAGCAGTGCATCAAGGATCGGGATGGTCTCTGAGACTTTGCTTTCATGCACACCGGTGGATATGCGATTCGATCCTTAACTTCGGAATCTCATATTCGCTCTAGTAAGACTTGGAGAAGCCATCTTCCTTGGTCGAAAACGCCAGGCGCATCCATAACGAATTCGGAGACACCCGGAACTGCGCTGAGTGGCGATGGTACAGCCGGTAACTGTTGGGCTTTCCGTGGATCAGTAGGACAGCTTGGAATAGGGCTCAGTAGTAAAATCGATATCACCGCCTTATCGATTGAGCACATCGGGGCGCAATTAGCGCAAGATGACATCACATCTGCACCGAGAGAATTTGAACTTTGGGGAGTTAGTGATGACGAGGATACAGTAGCCGGCACAACACCATTGTTCAAAGGGGTATACAGCATCTCCAGCCCGAGTTCAACTTTACAAATGTTTGAACTCAACAAATCACATAAGTTGCTCTTCAGCAAGGTATTGTTTAAAGTCATCTCGAACTATGGTAATCCCGTGTTTACTTGCCTTTATCGTGTGAGAATACATGGCCAGCCAATTTTTTGAAAACATAAATGTATTTCCATTTCTTTCTTCTAGTTTTACTTCGTAATTTTTGCCATTTAATGTTACGTAGACATACATATATTCTGTGAAGCTATACACTCTTGGATGGTTTACACCATAGTCATTTCCTGTTCCTATACATATATATTTCGTGAAAATCATTCATGTGAGACAAAGTGAAATTTGGGAATAGTCATCCGAACCTTCCCATCCCCAATTCATATTTGTTAACAAGTCTCTTAACTTCCAATCTTCAAAATTGAAACTGTTAAAGATTCAATTTCGTTGCTTCAAAGCAGCAGCAGCAGCTCGTTTTCTCTCTCTTAACGCACATGTTTGTTATCAGCTGATTTCCTGAACCTAGATAGAAGAGAAAGTGATATTGAGACACCATACAACTGGGAATATTAGGCAGATCAAAGAGCCTTGAAGCAACGTTACGGAGACAGAGTAATCTGTTGGTGTTTGGAAAATCTTGAATGTTGTCGACATCTTCTGTCGGACCAAACACGACGCTCGAAAGCTCCATCACAGTTCAGCGACACTGTGTAGCTTCACTTAGAAGTTTTTATATGAATTGGATTGTTGCGGCATCCACACATAACTTGGCTTTTAGGTCAGAGTGGGCATCATGAACACGTCGTGTCTCTTTCCTATCCTCTGATTTTGAGTCATGCTATGTTAAGATCTTCAATCTGAGATTTTTTAGTAAATTCAGGATATTGGCTTCACTTCCAAAGCAAAATCGTATGTCTGTACGCGTATATACTTTCACAGTTCCCTTTTAGACATGCCGGGAGTTTGAGAAGAATGAAGAAGTCTTTGGTAATTGGTTCTCGTACAGCCTGCTATGTACTAGAAATCAAGTTCATACGCGACTAATCGGCAAACTGTCAACAACAAAGGTGATTTGTGCTTCCCTGTCCGCACAAATTCCAAATACTACCTCTTGATTTTTCAAACCAATATGCTTCATCCAGTACTGCCACCCCAACTCCCAGACCAAGCTCCATACAACTCTTTACCTGAAATCGAATATCATCCAATACGCTTTCATCCAAGCCACTCCATCTGAAGCCGACTGAATAGATCTCACACCACAGAACTAATGTCGACGCGTAAAGGGGGCAACAACATCGCATACGAGTGTCCTCATCTTCGAACGTGTTTTGATCCGAACAGCAAAGGGAAACCGTGCCAAGATTGCAACGGGTTGAACCTGACCGGTGTTCGCAACCATACTCTCAACACCAAGCATCACAAATTTTGCACCCCTGAATGCCCTGTCTACAAATGTGAGCCTCGTCAAAATCGAACTGGTCATTTTCTTCAATGCTGATGATATGCGGATTATGCATAGTGACCAATCTCAGTCAAGTTAAATTTGCAAGAAAGACATTCCCAAGGAACATCGATTCGCCTGTCCAATCGACTGCAACTCGAGTTCCTTCATCCAAACGGTCGACTTCACCCTCCCCGCTTGCAAGACAGACCTCACACATATTACAAACACAAAGCTCACGTGAGGCAGAACCGAATAAGGACTGCATCCCCGGGTCTAGTTTTCGACGGCGCTCTGTGCGGAGCACTTCTACTTGCACTCTTGTCCAAGAAGACTGCCCCGGTAAAGGTGCAACGGTCGTCATTCCACAGAAGGTCACCTTTCTAGACTCGCATCAACCCTTGTCGAACTACTCTTCCTCTACCCGCGAAACAATCAAAGATCTAGACACTGTCCCAAGCACTTCTACACGCACACCCTTTAACGAGCACTTGACCAGCGAAGTATCACCCCCGGTTTCAGGCTCGCATCAACAACAGTTCAAACAATTCGTGGCTGAAAGCATACACCCAGATTCCAATAGGCTCCATGTGTTTAGCGATTCGCAAAAGTCACACGATCCAAGACCGCTGGTGGGCGAGTCTTCATCGCGGGATCCAGTCCTTCCAATCACGAATACACGCTATGAAGAACCTTTCCGCCTCGATTGGAAGCTTGCTGCACTTTTAGTTGCATTCTTATTTAATCTTTTCTGGTTTATCAGGGCATGTTTTGATTACTCTAGTGATCAATCAGGAGAGTCCGGTATCAAGTATTGATGAAAGCACGGGGCATCCAGCCTTTCATTTATTCACCGGTAAAATTATCGATCTCTTGACTGCAATATCACAAGGCACATTCATCGGCGATGTATACGTTGAAGACGGTTTCACAATTTTAGTCTGTATGTTTGTTAAGCTTGACCCTACATAGCTGTTGTTGTGTGTCTCGTCTGTCATTTTCATATCTATGTACTTGTAAATGTCTTGGGCGGTCCAATACCTATGGCTTTGAGACGGGAGCTAGCATGATTGTATATCCATTTGCGTTCTCCTATACCAGAACACAAACATTTGTGATCAGATTGATTCTTTCATGTTCTTTAGAGAACATTCTCATCACATCAAAAAATTCAAATCAGATCATCCAGCTATTGCAGATCTAAAAACCTGACAAATGATATTCTTGCTGTTGGTCCTACCTACAGATTCTCCAGGATGATTTGCTGTTTGGTAGTTTCTTTTATCTGTTATAATCTTGGCTCTTTTCTACGCTCTCAGAAATCATAGCCCCAACGTGGCCTTGCGGCTGTCAATTGGCGTAAACATATAGAACAGCTTCAATAGCAAAATTTGTAATTTACTGTGACTACGCTTGCCTTCAAAATTGAAGAACTTCAAATCCAAACTTTCAATTCGAACTTTTCAAACTTTGAGCTTCGAGTGCAGAAATTTGAGGTTCACTGGAACCGGAAAACCTTTTCCCAACATCTAGAATCTCCCCGAATCCTATGATGGTCCCCATGGCTTCATGATGATATCAATTATAATAAACTCAGTTTAAACATTTTACCAACAGACTGTCTATGGTACAGGCAAGTCAGGCTAAACCATGCTAAGAGTAAGGAAGGAATTCATTTCTTATGTACCAATTTCGGTTATACGAAAGTAGTGCAAAGCTTTTCACAAGGTACCGTGTGCTGATGATGGTTGGCAATTTGGACTCCTTCTAGTGTCTGGAAGATTTATACATATAATCTCAAACAGTGCATGGCGATGGTTTCGAAGTAATCTTCAGACATGAAATGCGTATATGAGAATCGATGTTTTGGTTTCATTGTTAATGTCCAGGGATTCGTTTGATGCATTCTCAAGTTCAACTACTTAGGGTATGTCTTGGTCGGCTTGCGCTTCTGTTTTTTCAAAGCACATCAACAGTGAAAAAGAGACGTAGAATGTATTCATTTGAGATAGCGTAAAGCGTGATTGGGGCGCATGTAAGGTGGAGCCTTTACGCGAGTCCAATCAAATTTTACGCTTCCTCACATCGTCAAATGTTGGAAATTTCATTTGGAAGGTGTGGGAACACGGCTATGATTGATTGTTTTTCCAAAGGGGACCGTTGATCAGCATTAATTGTGGGTTTTTCTTTGCTTCTTGCTTGAGGCATGAAATGTAAGACCGGTCCACGATGGTAGTAACCACGGTTTGAGATACAGATCAAAAGGGGAAATGGAAATGGGAGGATTAAGACGGATTTGAAGAATCTCCAAAGACTGCGCCTAGGATACGTATAACGTATCCCCGCTCACTCAAAGAAATGAGATCAGAGGTTTCCTTTACAAACATCTCGTTCCAACTCTTTCCTGTCTCTATCCCTTCATCCTTTTCCTTTCTTCCCTATTTTCCCTCAAACTTACTATCCGTAATTACTACTTCAAATTTTAACCATACTACAATAAACTAATACTAATACTAACTAATTTTGTCCTCCCGCCCGCCCAACATCGGAACAGTGAGTAATGTATACAGCAGGGGGGATAGGGAAAGAAAGAAGTCCTCCGAAAGGAAGACTCTCTATAAAAACACCTTTCCACTATCCTCCCTAAACATTTCAGGTCTCCAGAAAAAGAGAGTTCACCGATGAACTATCCTTTTGAGGAGACCTAACTCCCGCTATTACACCTTTCCCTCACCTAGTAAAAACTAGGCAAGGGAAAGTAATTTAGTCTTTTATGCAATGAAAAGTTATGTGTTATAAAATTGAGTGGATTGGTCGAAGAGTAATATTCTATTGGCCGCGAGCGGTCAGTGGATGGCCCACGTTTTGAGCAGCAGCGTAGCAAGTAGCGGGGATAAACTCAGCCCCACCGTGCTTGTCACTCCGACGTTGGATTTAATTAAAGGCGCGTAATGTAGTGTAATGATCCATCTTACGCTCGAATCACAGTACGTAACTGTCTCATATCTGGATGAATTCGATGCACAGCATCAATTCCCTTGCCTATAGCAGCTGAATCGGAAGCCACAACAGCGCAACCCTTTGTAAATCCCGGGTGTACGAATGTTCCATCATACGCTCGAACCACGATACGTAGAGAGACTCAAACCCATGCAAACCGGTCCTCGTAAATCTGGTATCCTCTTATTTGTGGTGTTGGTCCGCCGGCAGAGATTTTGACTCTGAATTTTGGTCACCTCCGTTATCCGGCACAGAAGGTGTCCACCAAGGCACCAGATCTCAGGTTCACGTGTAAACTTCAATCAAAAGTGGGGGACAGTCATATCCGGAAAAGGATTTACGTCGGAATATCACCTCTAGATTCAAACTCCAGGTGTCTGTCACTTATATATAAGCCATCAGGGCCTCAACCACCCCGTGTGTTCACATTCATTTCAAGAAACTCCGCTCTCATCATGTCAACTTCAATTCAATCTACCGTTTTCCTACCTGATTACATCCTTGAATGTGTTGTTGACAAATCCACACCTAGGATTGATACCGAACTCTTCTTAACTAAAGCCAGTGCCAACAACCTCTTAGAAATGATTGTAGCTTTCTATCCTCACTGGAACTTTACGTCAACTGCAAAAGAAGATCGCGAGCTCCTTCAAAACATATTCAATGAGATGGTAGCCCCACGACTCTCTAATGTAATCATACCTTTACAACATACCACAAAGTATATTGAAGCCTCTTTGATGACCCCGACATGGGGCCCCCAAGGATCGTCCAAAACAATCAACTCCAGCGCTGATATCAACTACACCCGCACTGAAGTTTTCAATCGGGATGCTCTCACCTACCTCAAGATTGGACAGTACCGTCTTGCAGCCGAGAATCTCAACAAATTTACCAACACTTACACATACCTAAACATCGACGAGGTCAATGAGCTCTGGGGTGCTGAAAACGATGCCGAAGAGGCTCTGCACGATATTAGCTGCAACCTCAAAGAATGTCACCAGAAAATCGAGTCCACCCAGCTTTTGTTACGTTCCAAACTCTCACCATCCGAGCGGGAAGAACTGGAAGAGAAGTTGAAATGTGCAATCCTGGACTTGAATTCCCATCGAAGGACCTTTACCAATGCCATTCAAAATACTGGATTCATTTCAGCATTGGCCTCTCATCATCAGTACGTATTGTGGTCCAAAGTTTTGTGCAACTATTCTGAATCTCATGTTATTTCGATTGAAATTAGAAAAATTCTGAATCAACACAAACCAACGAACTTAATTGTTTGACCCCACCTGGAAGAGATTGACTCCGGCATAACTGCTGATAGGTATATAACAATCTCTGAACCTTTTATGAAGCACGTACCTTTGATCTGATGTTGTTAAATTATTTACGCATCTCTTCAGAAGCTGAATTATCATAACCGGGTAAATACAAGGCTTGTAGGTTCAATCTGTGAGATCAACCGCGCGGCTTGTCACACTCCATCTAGCTAGGTTTTCTGTCCCTTTTGAAGAACCATAGTAATGAATAATATGTGTCAGATTAGGTGTTTCCAACATATGAGTTCTGATTCAAACAATCTATGGGTCTTGTTTCCTACTGTGATAAATTCCGTATTGAGTCAAAGAATATATGTGTGATGACTATTGTAGCTCCTGTTAATGACCATAGTCAAGGTATAAAAGGGTTTCTTTTGCAAATTAGAGACTCTCTCACTGAAGCCACACCGGCGCGCGAGTCTCGCTACGAATGTGAACAATATTGGTGGCTAGATTCTTTCTAAGATCAAGGGTTGATAATAGGGTCAATACGCGAGTCAATACGCGCGGCCCCTCGCCGCAGCTCTACGCAATATCCGCTCATGGATTGACAGCCCTTTGTTTGACCCAGTTTCCTTTGCCTTTATCCTACGGCGCCTTCAAACCCGAGTCCCGATTCCAGAAAACGCGCACGTCGACAACGTTTTGAGGAAGGCTGAATATTGCTATCATCCTTCTATTACCTTTCATGAACTCTTCGTACCCCGACATGGACATGAAGGATCATTCTTATCCGCCTTCCGCTCCCTTTCGCAGACCATTGGCACCAAGACATGGACGTCATGAGTGAAACGTAGCTCATCCTGTACTCGAGGGCCGGGCTGATGTTTACGATGATTCGCAACATCAACTTCACTGCTACATTGAGCGTTTACACGAGGAGTGTAAAGAACAAGACCGTCACCTCAATCGTTTAATCGACGAGCTTGGCGCAGATAGAATACGTATGACCGAAAAAATTGAAAACATCACGACCGAACAAGAACACTTTGCAAAACGCAATCAGAAAACACAGGAACACCTGACAAGAGTAAAAAAAAACTATGCCGAGCTGACCGATAATGTGGAGCAAAATTTCCGGGACTTATGGGAAGAAAGAACAAGGTTGAAGAGACATTTAGCTAGCGCACAAGGCCAGTTGCTTACAACAAATAACTTTGCTTAAACTTACTTATCTTCCCCCCTATGTCTCTCTCCTCCAGAGATACACCGGACTGAAATGAGTGTGCTTTGCTCGTCTTTAGAGGAGTCAAAAAAGCTTGGAAATGAGGCGCAAGAAGCGGTTCGAAAGCTGTGTTGGTCTGCAGAAGAGGGGCTCAAGAAACTCTCTCAGGGAACAAAAGGTGTGAGATGGACATTGCTTTGCTTGAGAATGAGATTGAAGCTCACAAGAACTCCACTTCTTAGAATTCTACCAACACCGAATTCATTTGGAAGACACCACCAATCTGCGGCTGTCGAATTTCAAAGCGGAAGTGAATGATGTATTGCAAGCTGCAAGAGGCAAGCCTTTCAAGACTGGAGATACTTGTGTTCATAAATCATCTATGTTTAATCTGATAACATCATGTGTAGAGGCGCAGACACAGGTGTCCCTCAAATACGAAGACGTTTTGCAACAGCAGCAAAATACTGAAAATATACTTGAAAATCTCACGTTGGATATTGAATTACAGGTAAAGGATATATTAGGTATTGGGTGATCAACTTCTCGTGATTTTTTAAAGTCGAACTCACGCCAATGACCTTTCTTCAGTCCGTCTCTTACACGAGCGGATGCAAGATGGAGGATGGAAGAAATTTGCTAAAGGTATGTTAGGTGTATCAGTCTGGATATAACCTTGCAGCAAGATGCTCATGGAAGATGACTTGTTTTGTCAGGGGGGTGCACTTATCCATCTTTCAGGTTTCATATATTGATGCGCTTGGTTTTAATAATAGCTTTTGTAGGCCTATCAGTGTACTTATTAGGGACTGGGCGAGGTTTCGACCGACAGAGGATTTAGCCACCTCAATAAGCGCATGAATCCCCTGGAAGTCGACCGAAGCGATTTATGCAAACAGGAGGTGTCAGGATTACTCCTACAAGCCCAAGAGACCCGACTGTCAGATGATTTCACCAAAACCAGAGCGAGAGCAACCTGTGAAAGGTATATCAGGCTATCCAGAAGCGTTCTGCCATAGGCTTTTGGCTGAGGTGGGGGGGGAAATTTTGAATAGACAGCTCGTCTTAGGGAGGGTCATGCCTGTGCGCCACCCTATTTTTTTTAGTGCCATAAAGCTTACTAAAAAAAATAAGGAAATTTCATATTGATTGAACAGTGGCTTAGCTGTTTGCAACTCGCTTTCAACTACGGTTGAATTGCAATTTTGCAGAGCTTCGCCCAGTCCCTATTGCATGAGGACGACGAGCAATTCCATTGAAATGTGCTATAATTTGTAAATAATGGTTTTCAAGGTCCAATCTTTCATACGTTTCCTCTGATTTTTGACAAGTTATAAAAAGGTGATACATAATTATCAAACGTGTTTGTAAGGTTGTGTTATTTAAAATATTCGAAAATTCATTCGAATAGAGAGGAGGTTCAAAACACAGAGGCGCGAAATTTCCTTGGAAGACTTACTATACATATAAAGTGAGCCACTCAATTGCCAAATACGAGGCAGTTTTAATTCACTATTATCATCATTATTACTAACAAGTCTCAAAAATCCATTCCATCTTCATAAGCCGATGACAATGCACACTCACAGAGAAAAATGAAATAAAAATGAAGACCAAAATCCACTTCTATACGGAGATTTGTGAAGTGACGTGCAAAAGAAATCTAAGCTCGTAGTGTTTGTTGACCGGGGGTATTTGATGAAAGACTTGTTTGAGTCAAAAAGTTTGAAAGTTTGAAAAATAGAGCTAGAGGGGCAGCCCTTCATGCTGATACACCCTTTATGCAATAATAAAATACTAGTCCTTGAGGGCCTGCCTGAAAGCTTGAACTTCTGATAAAACTATCTTCGAGAATGGCATCACCCAAAAGTGTATCACGATTCCGGAACACATGGCAAGGATAGTCCAAATTGCAATCACCGATAGTGTGTCACAAAATCCTTCTACCGCTGTCAAATTATAATGATCCAAAAAATGATGTTCCGTTGATGCACATAGCTGATTTTTCACGGTACTTGGAAGCGGTGCCAGGTGCTGTAGCCAGAGCTTGAGCGCCTTGGAATGTGATGACAGAAGGACGTGGAAGATTCTTCGACAGGTACTGATAAGCATCAAGTCCCATAACAAGATCACACGAAAGGCGAACAGTAGCAAGAGTCTGTGCAGGGGAGACGTCTTGATACCAGCTTCTCATTACGAGTAGTTCAAAATTACATGGAATTGGATAGAATTAAGCGTCAGACTATGCTCAGGCTTATCAAGAGTTATGACGGGAAAGGATTATTCTTACCTGGCATTCTGGTGCGTGTATAGCGTGTATAGTATTTGAGAGTGTAGTGTATCTTGTTTCGATATCTGTGGTTTTCTGTGAATCTCCAGACGTGTGCGTAAGGTGTCTTATATGCAAGGCGTTTCAGATCATACATACGATCATAGCCCTTGATTCGAATGACTGTGCTGTTTAGTCTCATGCTCAGGGCCATCATTGAAACTTCCTTATATAATCCTCGATACACCTTCATCAAAGCATCTCACCTTCTGAAATCCTTTGTAACAAGCTCAGGTGTGGGAGCGCATCAAGCCTTCTGGTTCACGGTTATTCGTTGGCTCATGCCCCTCAGCCTGAGGGCCTGGCCCTCAAGGTCATTGTTGAGCTGCTGAGCAGACGAGTTGAAACTTTCAACTCCAAGAAAAACTGCTGTCTACTTTCTTAAACAAAATGTAATACGAGCCCTTGTATAGTACCAACAGAAATTTAAGTTGATTTAAGTGCGGTGAAGGGCTGAGTACTCAGAGGAAGCTCATTCAGGGTCCAGACAAGAGTCGATAACTCTCCTCATAAATACTAGCATGATCCATGCAATTAACCACTTCTCCATATCACGCTTGATCCTGGTATTCTCAATTCAATTTCAATACATAGCCACTTGATCTGACAAATATATCACTTGATCAAAAAACATGTCCGACCAACACAGTTATCCTCATCACTCCACACGCGCTGGCTGCATCAAACACAGTATGTGTCAGCAAGGCGTGCCAATGACATTGGCAGGAGTCAGACGTCCCAGGACCAATCGTAGGAAGGGTACGTATTGTCTACCTTCGATTCACCAATTCAAACTCCCTCACTCAACTAAATATCATTACCTCAGGAATACCATGGCGTCGGTTCTTTCGCTTACTAGCAACCTATCTCAACCTTATGGTGATAGTGGGCATATGGATATCGGCTCGATATCCAACGGGAAGTTTGGCGGTATCTTCGAGCGAGTGGGCTCCCAATTTTCTACACGATGCATGGGGCAGTGCGTGTTTTGCGTGTCGAGGAAATATGAAAACCTACCTCAAAATCGCTGCACCGGAGTCATTTTGCCTCGAGGCCTTGCATGGAATTTTGATGGTAGTCTTTGTTGTCCTAGGATGATAGTCTTTGAATTGGTACTCCGATCCTTGTGCTTGTATGTTCCCTCACTTCCCTTTGAGTTATCCGCTCTCAATTTCTCTCAATTTGTCATCACCTGACTTATCCATCTACGCTTTCTCTTTGTTTTGATATCTTATTGTATGTCTATCAGTTTCCTTTGTTCCTCACTTGTGTCTCAAATTTCGATTATCCAGAGTATTGTGGAGATAGATCTCTGTGGAACTCGCACAGGATTGTGTATGGCAAGAGTGAAATATTTATACCTTTCTATGGGCTTTCCTTGATTTCATCTTTCATTTTCGGAGCTGTGAGATGTTGGCAAACAGTCTCCATAAAGAGCAATCTGAAACCTTTGGATTGCTAGTCTCAATCAAATGCAGATGAAAGATACGCGGAGAAATTGAATTTTGAACTTCAGACTTCAGACTTCAAACTTTGAAGTTCAAAGTTTCAACTTTGAACTTCAAAGTTCGAACTTCGCAGTTCGAAGTGCGAATTTCAAATTTTGAAGTTAGTTTCGAACTTCGAACTTCGAAGAGTTCAAAGATATTGACTTGGTTGAAATTCAAAAGGTTTGGAATGCACGTCAACAACATAAATGATGTCACAAAAAGGGAACACAATAGTGAAAAATCTAAGACTGAAGCTAAGAACTGTATTACATGTGATCCATTGAACAATGAAATGAATGCGCCTCAAAAGTCTAAAAGTCCTGTTGCCAGATGCCTAACTTCAGGGCAAGAGCCTTCATTTTTTTGTGGGCTTGCTCTTTATATCCAGTCAAAACTGTTGATGTGTAGTCTAACCAGGCCTCATCACTCATCTTGCTTTGCATTGATTTGACTTTGTTGAGCCGATTGACTAGTCCTTGGGCTATTTGAGTGGAACACGCGAAACGAGTGATTTCGGCCTCTTGTGGAGGAATTTGTTTGGAATTTGAGTCGTATGTCCTGGACGGGGTGGTATGATGATGAGCTTGTGAATTCCAAAGCATCTCGATGATACCATCAGTTGCGTCCAAGTTGATATCAAAGTTGTAGTCGTCCAGTACAAAGCGTGCACCCAGAGTGTTACCTCTTGGTGCGGTTGACCCACGATGATAAAATTCACCAGTTGCTCGGTCAATCAGCCCAAAAAAACCAAAAGCATATTTCAACGCATCACGATCTTTGTGTTTCTTGTTGGCAAACTCATCAAAGGTCACCGTGATGTTGGATCCAAAGACCTGGGCATTGGGTGATACATAAAAAGACTCGTTTGCCCAAGATGGAGCATTGGTACGAGCGGCCAGAGTGGCATTGGATTGAAATGCCGCCAATGATAATCCTGAAAATCGTTCAGCAAAGAAAGACTCGATTGCGGGAAGGTTCCCCTGTCGTTTCAAGTCCACCTCCATCTTGCGATAATCTGCAGCGGTGGCTTCATTCCAGGTGTACTGCCACTGCGTCCACGAGAGACGTTCTCGACGTCGAGATCGTTAGATGGGCAGTGTTTGTCTCAAGTTTGGCCCAAGTTTGGCTAGACTTTGGCCCCAAATGCTCACGTGAACTGCTCAGGAGAGCCTCTAAGCCTCAATCAAAAAGCACATCCTGGTTGAGCCTGGTTAAGCGGGTGTTGCTGACCCTCAGAGCAGCTCAGTTTAATCTTCCAAATGTTCAATCTTATTTCCTCAACCTCCCCCCTCACTCGATATCGTCTCTTTTGCCATAGACTATACAGAATTTTGCCTGAATCTGGAGACTCTACATACTCACCACCGAACATCCCTCATCTCAATCTACCTCTCCACTTCCTACCGATTCATCTTCATCTTCAGATCATCTATCTTCCTCCAACCTTTCAAGTTCAATCAATCATTTACATCATCATGATTTACGTCATCATGCTCCTTTATTCGAAAAAACCACTCCACCACTTGAAAGAACTCTTGCTCAGGCTGGAATTCTAACGGATGCAATCCAGACAGTTGAATTGGTCGGAGGATCGACTCGAGTACCTGCTTCAAAATCTTGAATTCAAAACGACTCAACATATCCAGCCTTATCAAAATTTGTAATATAGTATTCTACTTAATGTGCTTTATTATATACTCGTTATGCTTATTTTAATGTACAAATATGATTGTTGATTGATTTTTCAAAAGTAAATGTTCATGAATTCTTATGGAACTAATTGATTTATTTTTTGGTCTGATCGAACGTATACCATGATTGTTTGAATGTTTCCTTTGAACTTGATAAACTGTGATATATTGAGTGCTAGGTTAGTGAGACCAAGGATTATGAAATATCAGAAATAGTGGAACGAAATTGTTTACCATTCATTTAACAAGGGATTTGGCTCCCTCCTTGTCTTTTCTAAGGTTGTCTTCTATCTTTCAAACTTATAAAACTTTGGTTTCAGTTTGCTGGTTTCTTTTCTTTATCAGTCTTCTTTTAAATGCCTTGCAAAGATCACAAAGTTCAAGTATGCCCTCTATAGATCACCAAAATGACCACCAATTCTTGTATTTCGATCAGTTCAAACCGCGTCCTCTAGAACAGGCTTTCTTTGCGTTCAAGCACTGTTACGACAAGAAACATAAACATCGACTCTTGCCTTGAAAGACCTAAACTCGAGCAAGTATGTTTGAAACTGTGATAAATTTCCTCTCAAAGATTCTCATTGTATCGAATTCAAGTCTAAGACTTCAAGTTGTATCTTCTGCTATGAAATTACATCCATCACTACATTACCCACTTACTAAGTCTTCAACAAAATATACAACAACAATCTATAACAGTTTGCTTTGTCTTACTCCTAATGATTTAGCTCGAAGGTAAAACAATGAGAAAAGAAAGAAACCTCAAATTTGCTAAACCAAAATCAGTATCATATCACTAATGATAGTCAAGAGAAAGACTTACGATCAGGTTGAGCAGTAAGAGCTGAGATCAGATCTAGCACTAGCTCATTGAATAATTTGGCTTGAGCTGCGATGAGACAAATCGATCCTTGGACTGGGGTCGACCGTGCCTGCAAAGTATGAACGAGGGATACATGAACAAAAGAAAGGGGGATCACTGGCATGTAAGAAATAGATCATTGTAGCTTACCGAATTTCCTAATCTTGCACGATGAAAATCAGACTTGAATCGATCTTTCTCCTCAATTTCGCATAGAGAGCGTACAAGACAACGTCATCAAAGCTTGATCATTGCTTGTAGCTCGGAGAGCAGACTCGAGTAAGATTGTGTCGATAGAGAGAACTAGCAGGTTTATTCAAACTCGGTCCTAAGCTTTCAATCAATAAACTGATAAAATCGCCTCTACATTAAATCAGATTTAATTGATGAGACTTACCTTTTTAGCAAAGATCGGATTAATAAAACTAATTCACCATCCCAAATCCAACTTCTTGATAATTCGAAATAATCCATAAGAGAAACTCGAGAAACTCGACATCTCATTTGTTTATTCAAATAAAACATTGTGAAGAATTGTGAAGAAATAAAAAAGATGTAAACTTACGGATAGAGTGAAAGTGAAAGTGTGAGTGAATGGCGATCGATCTTGATTTCTTGGTGTGCGAGATGGTTGTGAAAATTGTCGAGTGACAAGCACTGAATCTGAGGGAGGATGTGACCCGGGACCTCCTCTCAAAAGTTTCGGGAGTTCAGGGTGGACCCGGACCCAAACCACGGGGTCATGCCGGTTTGCTGCGCTGCGCGTCAGCTGTATTTGGGGGCAAAAAAGAAAAAGAAAAGTGCAAACAGGACAACAATTTTGTAGATAAATCGAACTCATCAAAAAACTCAAGATACAAAAACGTCCCAGGGTGGGTGC